GCCCTTGGCTTCCTCTCCACCTTGATTATTTCATCTTTTTTGTTCATCTTATATTAAATTACAAAGTCTTTGAACAAAGGCTTCATTGACGCCACAGAGCAGCATGGCCAGCTGCAATGCGCTTCTCTGCTCTCCAGATCCCTAAAAGTGCTCTTCAGTGATTGCCAGGACAGACTACAATGGCTTGCACAACTGCCTGATGGTACAATTCAATCTCAGGACACCATTTAATAGCAAAAGATCACCTGGCACCCATGTCCTCAACCAGAAGCTGACATTTCTTTGAGGTACCTTCCAAAATTTTCCCATTCCCAGTGACACTGTGATGTTCTGCCTGTAAGAAGCCAAAATAGTTGACGCTGAAGATTTTAAAATCAAAGAGTTTTGTAACTTGTAGGACTAAAAGAGCCGTATCAAAATTTGGAAGAACAAGAGCTGCTGTGTTGGTCTTGGCTTGCTGTTTGAAGCAGGAATTGCCTGAGGTCTCATCGGGAAGCCAGTCTCCATAAATCCAGACCAATTTTGGCAAATCTGGGAGGCTTGGAAACTACAGATTATTTTTATATGGTCTTAATCATGCGGAAGTAGGAGGGTGGGAAGATGTTAGCTTCCAAGGCATTTGAGGGTTTCCTCATTGCTTACCAAGAGCCCAAGTTTCTCAGAACAGATGTTGCACCCTCTGCTGCATGTGAGCCCCTTAAGGGCAGTGCAGGGGTAGGCATGTGTCCATGCTTTGCGTCACTCACTGCTGACGGCTTACAAGGCTGTGGGGAAGCAGGCAGTACTGGGACAGCCTGTTCTAGACAGAGATTGTCCTGTTCTTTACTTCTGGAGTGAATCTGGATTTCTTTCCTGAAGTTCCAAGGAACACAGTCACCCTTCCTCATGGGAGAACCATGCCTATCTTGTTGGTTGCAAAGTTGGGTGTGATGGATTTGGCAGCTAACACTGCAGAGGTGACCGTGTGCTTGGAACACAATGCCCACGTTTCCAGTGTGGTCTATCCAGTATGTAGCCTAGTTGAGGCAAAACTGGGATCCTGCTGCACAGTCTGTGCAAGAGAAAAGCATGTGGGGTAGCAAGGGAGAGGAAAACATTCACCTCCCCTCTGTAGTGAGGCGGTGAAAGGGTGTTTGGGGCTCAGCGAGCAAGGGCAAAGACTGGATGTGGATAGTGCTGGAGAACTGAATGTTTGAGGGGGATCTGCTCATCTCAGGCTCCCTGTAGTGCTTCCAAATACTATGCTGCACTATCAAGAATAGTAATTCCCTGGTGCAATGATGTTCTTTACCACGTTTTCTCTGGCTTCTTATGTTGCTCCACAGCTGAAAAATCATCCTGCAGTAGCCAGACAGGTAGTTCTCCATCAGAGGCCCTTTACCCTGAACGCCAACCACTTGTAATGCTTTGCACTCCACCTGCAGCCTTACGATTCCTCCCTTCAATAATTCAGCATGTGCTCAGCAGAGACTTGGCTGCCATCCCTGGGGACTTTGCCTCCTGGCATCAGGCAGAGTGGGTGCCACCCCTTCTTTTCCTTGGGAGCGGGCTCACCCCAGCAACCACCAGCAGTACTGCCAGCCCCATCCAAATCCCACTACCTCCATCTTCCTACAAATGGAGGTGCTGAGCTGATTTGCCTTCTGTTGTCCTCTCTGTCCTCTGACTCCTTTGCAGAGTGAAAGGCTCTGTTGTTCCTGGTGCTGGGCATTGCTTTCCAGGTGTACAAAGCCCGCATTAAGGGAGGGCTGCTTATCTCCTGACCTGTGATGGAGACGGCAGTGTGTCCTTGGTTATGTCTGGGTCTGTGCACCATGCCTGAACATGATTGTCTGAGGGTATGTGATAAGATAGCAAGAAACAAGCAGCAGGTACAGGTAATCACAGGTGAGGGAAGACCAAAAATAGCCTGAAAATCTCATCTACCCCCAGGCTGATGTCTAGCAGCGAGCTGGGCACTGCTGCAGTGTGGAGCTAAATCCTAAATGCGGGTGGTCAGAGGAGGATTTAGCACTAGAGAAAATGGGTGGGCACTAAGGGTTACCCCAGGGAAGAAGCTAGAGAACAAAGGATGCTTGGGAAGGGTGCAGGAAATGGGTGCCTTCCTTAGAGATAGGGCGCCCAGCACAGGGCTTGCTCCAGCGTGGGCATCACCACCAGTCTGGGCTGTGTTCGTGACTCTTTCTGCAGTAGTTTTCCACTGGGGTGCATGTGTAAGGCTGGTTATTTTCCAGAAAGTAAGACAGAAATACTGACATCTTCCAGGACCCCCTGGCCATCAGCTGGTGGAGATGACTCATTTATATCTAGTTTTGGGTGCTGCACCTGCCTTTCCTTTCTCTCTCCACCGGCAGAAGCGCTGCATACACACACACTGCCAGCACTGCCAGCCTTCCTGGCCTTCTCTGTCCCCATGGGTGGCATATGGCCATGCAGGGGGGCAAGAGGTGGCCTTCTCCACCCCAGTAGCATCCCCAGAGCCTCCTCCAGCACCTGGTGACAAGCTCACAGAGAAATGGGTAAAGAGGGATAAGGGCTGGCAGAGCTGCAGGGAAAGTGGGCAGTAAAGCTTACTGGCCCCACAGGACAGGGCTCCCGGCCAGGCAGCCTGCCCTCCTCCTGCCTCCTTGGCCGCATCCAGACTGCAGACAGCCGCTGCTTTCAGCACTGAGACCCACCCAGCACGGCCGCACTCATTTATAGATGGTTGTCTGCCCTTGGCTGTCTTACAACATGTTGTAGGGAAAACTTCCATGAAAGAAGTCTTTTTTTTAAAAAAAGGTGACCTGCACAAGCCCAAAACCAACAGCCTAGAAATGCAGGCTCATTAACCTCTCCTAGCATAATGAGGAGAGAAAGTACGTAGGTTCTCTTTGAAAGTAACACCTCCTATTTATTTTCTTGGAAAATACTACAGATACAAAGAACACAATAACAGTATTTGATAGAGCAAATTCTCAGCTACAAAACACTGTTTTTCAACATTGTCACCATCTTAGCTGAGCGTGTTCACCAGTCATGAACAAGAGCCTGCATGCCATGCTCGTAAAAATCTGCACCCACAGCAGCACCCCATTGCTGCTGTTCCCTCTGCTAGAGCACACTACCCACCACCTCACTCTGCTGACATCCACTGTTTGGTCTCCATAAATGTTTTGAGAGTGTCGATGAATGTCAGTGGGGGCCATTTTTGTGCATGGAGGAACTGAGTGGCACCCCTTTGCTTCATCCACACTTCCATGTCAGACATCATTTTGTCAGACTGCCCTTCTGCTGCCATTTGTTGCACAGCAACAACATGTAATGGAATATTGGTGGGAAGGTTCAGCCTCTGCTGCCGTACCACCAACATCTGCTTCTGACACTGTAGGCCAATTAAGTAGGAGGCAATACATTCAGAGCAGCCCTCATATAGTCCTCCCTCAGTCAGGAAATTTTGAGGGTGTTTCCTGGCTGGAGTGGTCTCTTGGACGTTAGAGTCTCTAGGCTTTTGCTATAGGATAGAGCACATCAACCCTATTCCTCTTGGCCTCTTCTTCCTATTTTTCCTCAAGTCTCAGCCTCCAGTGAGGTTCACAGAGCCAGGTCCAGATAAACTGGCTGCCCAGAGAGGCTGTGGATGCCCCATCCCTGGAGGCATTCAAGGTCAGGTTGGATGGGGCTCCAAGCAGCCTGATCTAGTGGCTGGGAACCCTGCCCATGGCAGGATGTTGGAAAAAGATGATCTTAAAGGTCCTCTCCAACCTAATCCATTCTAAGACTCTATAATTTTAACACAGCCCCAGTCCTAACAAGAGCCGCTCACGGTGGTGCTGCCCACAGCAATCCTGGGCACATTTCCTCTTCCCTTCCTGGCTCTGAGGATGGGAAGCTGAAGCCATGGCGCTTGCAGTGACCCACCAGAGTCTGCTCATGGTTGCTTCCTGGAGATGTTGGCTCTATTCCTTGGGCCAATGGAAGGCTTTTGGCACAGGAGCCAAATCAGCGAATGGGAACATCCTCTTGCAAAGCGCAGTGACATCCTGCTATTGTTGGCACCTCTTGGCAGGTTTGTTCAGCTGCTTTGGGCCTATTGACATCCTTGGGCTTTCATCAGCATGTCGGCATTGCCGTAAGGCACACGAGCTTCCTGACTCAGCACCCAAGGAAAGCCCTTTTCTCCTGTTTATGAGCAGGATGTGAAAGTAAAGGAAGTCAAAATACTACACAGGAATCCACTCCAGGCTTTAATCACTACTGTCACTGCTAGAAGATGTGGGGAATGCTGAAAAATAATTCCCATCCCTGTGTAATAGAATGCAGATGTTCAGGTTGTAATCTATCCAGACACCATGACCTCTTGGCTACTGGAAGACGAGCGCTCATCAAAACTCTAGAGCTAAAAAATACTGCTACCACAAGCCTTCAGTAAACGAGGATTGGCTTTGTGCATGGTTATGGGATGAGCAGCAGCTCCAACCTGGACTTTGGATGGGGCAGCATACTGCTATGTGCAAACAGGCAAGGATGGCTGTGGTGCCATGTCCTTGTGTCCCCACGAGCCCAGGTGTGCCACCCTGCAGGTGTACCACTGGGGAAGAATCAACTGGTGCCATCTCAGGTTTTAAGAAGCACAGGACTGAAGTGAGCCCTCCAGATGAGAATCACAGAATCAAAGGGGTTGGAAGAGACCTCAGGAGATCATCTAGTCCAACCCTTCATTGTCCAGTGTCTGCCCACTGTCTTCCCAGGCTGTATTAGCTGCCAGGTCAGGGCGCTATTCTCAGCTGAGTCCTGTGGGACTCAAATGCTTTTGCAGTGCTTTGCATCTTTCCCTATTCTTCCCTCCACTCTCTTGGAAGCGCATGCTCTGCCAGCACAGACAGCTCTGGCAAATCCCAAAATAGCAGAGTTAGATAAATACAGAGGAAAGAGTTTACAAATTTCCAAGTGGGTGACAAACAGCCCTGCTTGCTGGAGAGAGGAGCTTTTTTTAACCAGGCTTTTTCTTCTGTCTGCAGATCCTTTCCTTGCACAAGACAGAAGACAGCTGATTTTTAAAGCAAAGTGGCCTGAAACTTGAAGATTGTCTGACTGACAGAGAGAGAACAAAAGATTTTCTTTGTGGCAAAGACATTCCTGCAAGAGATTGAATGAGCTTAGCCTCAAGTTTCCTCTTTTGCAGATCCCTGGCTCTCAGCCTGCTGACTTCACATCCAAGCTTCTGGAAACGACATGGGCAGACAGTGCTGGGTGAGGGGTCCTCAGATGGGTGTAGCAGGGACAGACAGCACATGGGACAAGGAGACAAGTGGGGCCCTCTACTTGGGACATGTTCCCCTCTGCCCATGCCCTCAGAAGGGTGCAGCTGAGTTGGGACAGGACAAAAGAGGCTAGAGCCATTCTCGTTTTCCTGACAGATCAGTTCTGCATGCTTGCAAATCCTGCAGCAGATCAGCCAAAAGTCCTTCCCAGGTCCCTGTGCTCTCAGTGGCTGGCACAGGGGATAAGACTGCTGTGCCACATTACAATTGCAGCTCAGCTCTCCATGCCAACCTAGACCACAGAGGGGGTGCATACCGGAGATCATGCTAGTGCCTGTTTCAGATAGGGAATTGTTGTCCTAAGGAAATGACCTCTGGTTTTCCAATATCTTTATTGTCAATGAAACAAAAATAACCCGGCCGCTCTCAAGGCAGAACTAAATTTTGCTGTAATTGCTTCACAGCTCCAAATACGCTGTGGCATCTTCCACATGCCTGCTTGGCATGATGCAGCCTCAGCCTCTGCCACCACTGCTCCCACACAGGTGGGGACGGCAAGGGAAGCAGGGCTCCTCCCTCAGATCACATTTATTTTCTTCCCAGAAGAAAAAATAAAAATAAAAAAGACTTTAAAATGGCCACAAGGGAAGGAAAACAGTTGGGTCGGGTTCAAACTGTTGAACAGTAAACAAAAAAAAAAAAACAAAACAAAACAAAAAAAACCACTGCAAGTCTGAAGTGTATTATTTGATAGTTAAAAAACCACAAACTCTGTTGTCTCAGTCTCCTCCTTCTGCTCTCTCTCCCGTTAGTTTCTGGCTTTTCTCAAGCACCTCCCTTTGCTGTCACCACTCAAGAAGGTCACATGAACTCCATTTCATCTGTGTTTTGGCAGGGTGGTGAGAACAAACAGCAAAAAAAACAAAAAAAACAACTTTGGGAATCAGTTGGTGTGGCCAGCCAGTTGCTGGCTGTCTTTTAGAGCCTCTCACCCTCTGCTCAGACCTTTGTGGCCAGAGGGAGCAAAGCAGTCTTCCAGCTGAGCACTGTGGGAGCAGAATGGTGTGTGCTCCTGTTGCCCCTCCTGTTGTACAGCCCTTCGTGTTAAAATCTGTGACAGCTACAGTATTTTTTGAGCCTCCCCAAGTCAAAGCCATGTACTCTGTTTGAAGCACACTTGATTTTTTTCATTGGGAGCTGGATAATCACAGGGCAGAGGAAGGTGCTAAAAGCAGGGCTGTGCTCAGGAGCATCCCTGCAATAGGATAAACTCTAAATCCTGCTGAAGGACACCAAGTGCCATAGGCCAGTTTGTTCACTCCACCACATGGCAAAGCCTCCAGCAAAGCCTTTGGGGAACCACAAGCAACATAGTGCCTGCTCTCGGCACTTTTGGCATCATCATGAAGTCCCTTTGAGCAGCCCCAACAGGGCTGCAGTTGTGCCAGGCCATTCCCAGAGGAAGGAGGCTTCATGCCGCAGGCAGACACACTGTCTCCCCCAACTAAATTGCAGCCTTGCATGGGGCTGGCACATCCCATGGAGGGAGCTGGCTCTCCCTGCTACATGGGGGCCATCATCCAGGCCTCCCCCAGCTCCTGGCTGCTACTCTGATGACTCCTTTTGGTGTCGAAGAAACAAAGGGCCTGTTAGGGTTTCCTCGTGTGCCCCAACTCCTAAGTACATCTGTGCACACGCACAGGCATCAACCCTATTGAAATCCTCCCATCCCCACCAATTTCCTTTTGGTTCTGCAGTTCAGTCACTTGGTGACGTTTTGGCCAGACATGGCCAGAAAGAAAGGCTCCAGAAAGCTGTGGGTTCTGGGACAAAAGCACTAAAACAATGGACAGGCTTCCCAGCCGCCAGGAACCAAAGGATGCACGTGCAGGAGCCGTCAGGCATCAAGGATTAATGACAGCCAGAGGAAGCCACTCACCAGCTGCACGGTCGTGGGACTCAGAAGTACAATAGCATGCAGCCTCTTCTGCTTTTTCTCAGGGCTAGGTAAATAATCCCCTTCCACGGGAGCAATATGGGTTCCCATAAGGCTGAATAGCAAAAGCCGTTCCCAGGCTTATGGGCAGTAATCATTGTTTCCCAGGCCACATAATTATTATTTTGACTGTTAGAAACCTGGAAGAGAGACTGTGCAGCCACAGTGTTTTCCTGGTCAGCTCATGGGGAGCAATTTCACTCTGCTCAAAGCCAGTTGGCGTGCAGCAACTGGGACAGGACCCATCGCTGCTGGTGGGATGCAGGGCTAACAGCACATGATGAAAACCACATCTCTCAGGGTCTCAGATGCCACAGAAATGCCTTGGGAATTACTTCAGGGCAGAGTGAGTTGGGGAGGAAGGGAGAAAGGAATGCACTCAGCCTGCATCAAGCCTGCTCTACCCTGGGGGAAAGCACAGCCACGTCAAGGAAGATGCGGGGTACATGGGGTTTCCAGATAACTCATGCATGTGAAAACATTGATGGGCATTCATTTGCAGATGAGAAGGCAGCACTACAGCCTAGGTCTCAGCTGCAGGGGTATGAGGGCAGCTGCAGGGAGCTGCCAGCCTTGAGCAGAGAAAGGAAAACCGGAACCCAGTAACTCTGGCATGTGCAGGTGGTGCAGAGAACCAGTTAGGTCACGTTTCTCAGTTACAAGGGAATCAGTTTGCATGGCTGGAGAAAAACCACACTCCGTGCAAAGTCCTGCCCTGACAGGTCAGAGCTCTTCTCCTGACACCACCTGTGGTGCACACACCAGAGAGCCCATGCACAAGAAGATGCAACCACTGCTGCCAGCACGTGCCAACCCTGGGCTGCACAAGCCAGGCCCTGCCCTTGGGAGCAAGCACAGCACGGTGCGGCCAGGAGACATGTCTAGAGTGCTCTTGCCCTGATGCAATTCCAGCGCTTGAGAACAGCCTGGAGGCACACCGTCACCCCTGCAGGCTTGTCCATCCACTCCCTGCTGGGCTTTCAGGATGTGTCATCGTTTTCTCCAGCGCCTGGAGCCTCCCACCTGTGTCTGCTTCCACGTTCCCCTGCCAAAAGGGTTTCGCCTCCTTCAACATTGTGCAACTGCTTCCCGGTGCCAGCACCAGTTCCACCCGCTCCAGTTACACAGGAAGACTCCAAGAACTGGAGCAGCATCCAAAGGGGCACAGCCACTGCCCTAGAGAGTCTGCAGAATCCGCCGGTGAGACGCAAAGGCCAGGCGTGCAGAGGAATGTATGCCCTCGGAGAGGCACAGCCAGATCAGAGATTAGTCAGGGCAGGTTTGAGGTGCAGGCAGCCCAGGCGGAGTGGTTGCCCGAGGCTGCACTCATAGCTGCCTTCAGCAGCCACCTCCCCTCCATTAGGGCTAATGGGCTTTTGGCTGCAGGCCGGATTCAAGGTAGTTCCTGCTGACTGTTGTTTTCAGAGCTGTTCTGTGGAGGGAAGAAGTGTTGGCTTTTAGTGTTTGCCTGCAGCTCTGAGTAAATGCTTGTCTATCTTAACAACTTGTTCTCTTGGGCAAGATGGCTCTGAGGCTTCTGGGAGCTGCAACTCCCCTGGCCCTTGCAGCTCTGTGGGTTTGGGGGGGCAGACTGAGGGGTCCACCTTGTGCCCATTGCCAGGACAGTAACACTTCAAGTCAAACACAGCAAAATGAATCCCTGGATCCAACCCTAGGGCAGTTGAGTTGTCATGGGTGCGAATCTGGCTCAATAGGGAATCCTCTCCAAATAGATATTCTCCAGCACAATAACAATAATGCTGTCATATTCAAGCCATTGTATCTGTTGACAATACACTTCCAAAAATCAGTCCTCAGGGCCAGTGATGTAAGTCTTTGTCTGGTACTCATGTGAGGCAGCAGTGAGGGTCAGTGCCCTGAGTGGCAGCAGCACCAGGATGCTGGAGACCAGGAGGTGGAGGACACAAGGGAGTGAGCAGAAACATGGAGCCTGCAACCCAGACCTTCTTGCTTTCCTCTCTCTGATGGTGCTCCTTTTCTGTAGTATTTATGTTGAGACAACCTGTTTATATTTCATTGCTGTTCTGCTCCTCTCTTTGGGCTTGATAGAAAAAAAAAAAAAAAAAAAAGCAGTGGATGCAATGGAAAAATGAAGTGAGAACAGAAATGTTCCTAGGTCACCCTCTTTTTCCTTTCCACTGCGCTTGCCAAGCACAGCCCATTTGTGTCTCTGCAAACAATGCTCCATGCGGCAGCAGGACGGCATGCTCTAGCCTTCAGGGCAGGAGTTAGAGCAGAAACTCCCAGCAGGCCCCAGGGACAGCAAGCAGGGAGGAAGGAGCTTGTGCAACCACCACTGGGCTCTTACCGGGAAGCCAGAGATGCTTGGTGTCACGGTCGTGAGCTGCGTGCGTCAGGACACTTGCTAGGGTCACAAATGACCAAGGAGGATATCCAGCACCTTGTGCCAGCCACCAGCTCCACCTTCGAGTGAGAAATGCAGTTCTGGTGAGCCCCCCAGAGGTTTACAGACTAGTTCCTTACACTCGGATTTAAAGAGCTTAAACCTGAGCCTTTGTGATTAAGTGAACTTGACCTGTGGTCTACAGACTCCAGCAGCCCTTGGGCTCTTTCCAAAATGCCCATAAGGGGCACTGAAGAAGACAGATTTAAACCATTGAGTATAAATTCATCATATGAGTCTGCATTTTCAAATGGAGAAAATCTTGCAAACAAAATTTAGATGTCACCCACCCAAGAGACTGGAGAGGCTCATGGGAGAGATGGCCATGCTAGCTGTGGTGTCTCCATCTTCCCAAGGGACACTGCAGAACCTGATTCCTTTCACAGCCCTCTCTTTAGCAATGGCTTATGGAGCAAATGGGAGATGTTGTATTACCAGAATATCTGTTTCCTTCTCAAATAAGCCATGTTGTCGTTGTTTATGGAAGAAACACAAATCATGAGGGATCTTACAAAGCTTTTAATAGCTGCCTTCAGTCCCTGGATACTAGAAGGATTGATGAGATCACAGCATACAGAATAGCAGACAGCCCTGGGATCAGCCATCCCATTCTCCTCTCCAGGGAAGGATTAACTCAACCTAGCCCATGCTTGCACATGTTTCTTTTACACGAATTAGCAGCCCTGCAGTCCTCTGGTCTGCTCAGGAAGTGACTGGCCCAACTTAACATTTAAAGGCACCTCATGGCATTGACCTGCTGCTCCCTACTGTGTTTTAAACATGAGTTGGAATGTTCCTAGCGGAAAAGGGAGTGGGTTATTCCCTTTCCTTCTGCAGTGACCTTTCATATGTAGGGAGCCCATTACTGTGGCTCCTCTTTGCCTCCTACAGACTGGACAGAAACACAAGTAGGCTTTTCTAGGCCTCCCATCTCAGTCTTGTGATGATGCTTCTGTATTTGTACTCTATTTGGCCAAAAAAGCAATCCAAGGGATGGAACATCTCCCCCACAAGGACAGGCTGAGGGAGCTGGGGCTGTTCAGTCTGGAAAAGAGATGGCTGTGGGGAGACCTGAGAGCAGCCTTTTGGTACCTAAAGGGGAGCTAATAAGGAAGAAGGGGACAGACTCTTTTAGCAGGGTCTGTTTTGACAG